AGCAAGTCAGGATCCATCTCATCATCTGGGAGACCTGTACATGCCTTTGAGCAGCTTTATAAAGATCTTCACTCATGCATGTGTGCTCAAAAAGCAGTATTTTTGTGCATATGAAGAAGTAAATAGACTCAAATACAAGCTGTAAGGACACATGCAGCGCTCCTCACCTGCTCTGCAGTCGCAGTCTGTCCCCTGCCAAACCAGTTCAAATTAGCACCAATCCAGAGCAGAGCAGCAAGACCCACTACATACAGAAAAAAACTGTCAGGTGAGCAACCTTATTTCCTTTACAGTGGAGTGGACATAATCAAAGCATCTACATCCATGAAAACATTAAGAAGGAGAATTGGGATTATCTGTTGTCTTACCTAGTAAGTACAAAGAAAAGGTCTGATAAGGGAACAGAGTTTGCTCCTAGCGTGAGACCACCTCTATAAATGTTCAGGATCAGTGTGTACTCCTGGATGTGTCCCAGCCTGGATTTCTAGCAGACCAATGTACAAAGGATGCCTAGAGGACCTGTCTCATTGTGTATTAATGCTGACAGATACTCTCTGACTCTGCCACTGGTCAGTATCTTACACTCCATCAGCCTTTTACAATTTTGTAGTCTTCAACATCTTGCTGGGTACTCACATCCAGGCTGGAGTCCCGTCGTGTGTTTAGGGCATTGTTCTGGTTTTGCTGGCTTTCTTTGTGTGTTCAGGTCTTCTCTCTCTAAGATCTTATTTGAAATTATTTTTGGTTGGGTGCATTTGTCTTTATTGAGAAGGCAACTTAGACCACAGTGTGACAATGACAGCTCTTTGCATTTACATAAACATGTGCTTTGATTTGGTACTTGCAAATTTCACAGGACAACTCCTAAAAAAGTGAGGTAGAAACTGGGCATGAATCTTCTATGACTCCAGTTAGACAGGTGCTTCCTGGCACTAAGTAAATATAAGAATAAACTGCAAATAATAATAAGAGAACATGCAACCCATTTTAAAGTAGATTGACAAATTGCTTTAAAATTACTTTCTCCCTATTTTTTTGCTTTTAAAGACACAGAAAGTAATCTGATTATTTTGGCTTATTTCTAAAGGAGACTGGAGAGGAAAACTTTTTTTCTTAGAAATCAGATGTCTTGCTGGAGGACTTGTTGATGGTCTCATGTTTATTGTGAGCTCTGACATTTTAATTAAAAGGACAAGGGTGTTCATTATTTTAAGCAAATAGATCTTTTGTCCTAATTATTTATTAGATATCAGATTAAGTAGATTTTAAAAACAAATACTGTAAATCAGAGTGTTTTCAACAAAATTATTTTAAATCCTTCATTTTCTCAGCTGCTCACCTTTAACATTTTATATCCAGTGATCTTATAATTACATTAGTTCTCCATTTGTCAGGAGATTTAAAAAACTGATTCTCTCTTTCAAATGTAAAAATCAAGAATTCCCCCAAGCTTATTTTGGTTAAACTCCTGGATAACATTTAAATCTAGAAAATGGTTGGTTATTTGTCAAAGGGGGAAAAAAGGGGAAATGGCACAGCTCTTTTGGAGTATTAAAATGCAGATTTCATCAGTCTACTTGGAAAAAAGAGAAAATCACAGTACTGAATATTTTATTTAATACTATCTGCCATGGGAAATAGAGAGAAAACTACCTTGAAGTATAATAGTTTAAAAAGACCGAATAGCAGGTTTTCTGCAATAAAATTATACCTAAAATAAAATAGAGTGGCAGAAGACAACAATAGTGAAAACCAAATAAAAGGAGAGAACAGAAACACTGAGAGAGAGGAAGAGCCCAGTGAGCTCTCCGCTTTTCAGAATGCTGGGTACATAGTCCTGATTGTTAGATCAGCTTTCTGAAAAGGATATTCACCCTGTATCTAGGAATCAAAAAAAATATATCATTAGGAGGCCTGTGGAATAGGAGAAATTTCTCATCTAAAGAAGTTAGACCCATTTACAGAATGTGGATATTTTTATTGCTCAGCTTGAATCCTACCAAGGGATCGGTGCCTTAGTATTTTGGGTGTTCCTAAGCGTGCCACAGCAATAAGGGCACACTTGTGAATACTAAATGAGGACTGCATTACCCTCCCTTACACATCCTGTGCCTGAGCCAGCTCGGAAATGAAAGATCATGTCACATATGAAGCTTGAGAACTGATTAATTGTGATATTTATAGTCCTCATTTACAGAGAACTGAAAATACCTGAAACAACTGGAATACTAAATTACACAAAAATAATGTAAATCAATGGGAACTACATACAAACTAGGACACAGTGATGGTGGAGAAGTTCAAGATGGAACTCTCTGTAGAAAAATTGTTAAATATTTGATATTGTTAAATGGTTTGCATGAGATCTGGGCCTTGCTCAAATCCATGGGACTCTTGCCATTGGCTTGAAGTGAGGACAGTGCTTCATCCTCTTTTTGACGGAGAAAGGAGGACCACAGCTGTGTGCCATACTTCAGAAAGAGGAGTATCTCATCCATCTGGACGAATAGTCGGAATTTAAGATGAAGGGACTGCACTTAAAGAAACCCAAAAAACTGGGTTAACTACCTGTCTGCCAGGGAAAATGTGGCAGGGTACTGGAGAAATGGGACTAAAACACTCTCTCTCCTAGAAGACAGTTCTGCAAAGAGCATGAATGAAGTAGGAAGACCTTATGAACAAAAGCAATATACAAAATTTTGTATCATGTGAATTTCACAGGCAATTATGCTTCCATAAACTTAAGCTTTATTTTTATAAATGAGGATGAAAACACAGTCTTGAATGCAAGATTGGAAAAGATTAAAAAATTAGAAAATGCTAAGGCAACAGCAATTCCAATTTCCAATTCTCATCTTAGCATGACACACATAGTGAGTGCATTACCCCATTTTGATCCAATTCCATTAGATACTTGTAAGTCTCATGCAGCACTGGTTCATAAAACACAGCTTTTGGATACTCACCAAAATGAGCTAATTAATCAGAGAGGACCAAGACAATTTCTTTCTGATGAATGGAGTATGTAATTTAACAAAATGAGGTAAATGGTGTAAAAACAGTGTTATAAAATTCTCAGATTCATGGTGGAAGTTCTTTCCTCTAGATTTTAGGCTGCTATTTTTACCCTCAGGGACTGTTACCCCTCACTTTTTCCCCTAGAAGAGAGGAATGGTCACATCAAAGCAATATTCAAGGATGCAGGTCATTGTGAATGTGAAAGGTTTGTCACTTTTGCCATGGCTATCTCAGAGGAAATGGAACCTCACCTTCAGCTGGCAGAACAGGACACAGGAACTTTTGACATCACTGATTAGGTAAGGAGTTAAATGTCCTTCAACACCCACAGTAACCCTCTGACCATGGTAAAGAGAGCAGGTACATTGGAGAGGTGTCATTCCACAGCATTGTGAAAATGTCTGTGCAATTCAACCTGCTCCTTTTCCCCCCAGTGATACGGACTTTGATTGTATGGGATTGAAATTCCATTTTGGTGTTCCGGACATTAGGAAATAATTGTCTGTCAGGAAAGGGGTTCCACTGTCTGTACCTGGAAGGTGCTTGGTTGCTGGCTATAAGCTTTCCTTTCAGTATTCCCGTGGTAATATCCCAAGGTAATACTAGGGACACCCCCAGTTATTACATACGAAAGCAAACATAAAGCCTTTCCCACAACTTCTAAACTTCCTTGGAAAGAAAGGATAAATCAATGTGAGATTTTTTAAAAAGGGATGAAAATAATCACTCTTGATGGCAGAGTATTAATTATAACTTTGTGTGGGTGAAGTTAAAAGCCTGTCTCATGTGTGAATTGAGCGTTTTTTCTCCACGAAAGAGTAAGTGTGTTTGTGTACACAGTCCTATGAACACCCGAACGAGAAGGTCCACGGCTCTGCTATGGATTTGTGTCCTGTGATTGCCAGTCAGATGCCAGTGTCACCCTCGTGGTTGGGTAGCCATTACACAGCTCTTCCACACTAGTCCAATTTTTCCTTCTCTAGTTAGAAATCGTTCCTCTTTTTATTTTCACGAAACGTACATAATTTTGGGACCCTAAGTGACACAGATTTGCAGCGAGGCTGAGAAGGGCAAAAGGAGATTCAGTCCTCCCCACGGGATTCACATTTCTGGGCAGAGCAGGCGGGTGCTGCCTGGGTGCGGCCCCTGACCTGGGCTGTGGGGCTGGCTCTGCCGGGGCCAGTGGCCAAACGGGGCCGACACGGCCCCGGGGTCTCAGGCTCCGCACTCACGGCCCGCGGGAACGCGGATTCGGAGCGTGAAAAGACGCGGGGAGGGCGTGACAGTGGGAGAGAATCGCCCGCTCGTGTTTCACCGGGCATCCCGAGCGTAGCATCGCCTCCAGTCGGAGACGCATCCCGGGATCCGCGCTCGGAGCGCGCCGTGCCCGCGCCGCGGAGCCGGGGCGGGACAGCGGGTCCGGAACAACCGGTCTGGGACAGCCGGGCCGGGACAGCCGGTCCCAGGGACGGGCTCATCACTCTCGCCGTTGAGGCTCCCCGGCCGCGGGCGGGGCCGCCTAAGGACACCCCGCAACTTCACCCGAAGTTTTCTCGCCGCCTCGTCCCCGCTGGGCGGGTGGCCGTCTCCCCGGCGAGGGCACCGTGAGGACGAGATCCCGCAGCCTCTCGGCGCGGCTCCTCGCTGCCCGGCGGGGCACAGCCCGCCCACCGCCGGCGGCCCGGGCCCGGGGCGGGGAGCGGAGCGGCCCCGGGGCGCGCCCACCGCCCCGCCCCGCCCGCCGCCCCCGCGCTGCCGCCTGGCAGGGCGGCGGGTGCCGCGGGAGCTGCTCGGTGCCGCCGCCGCCCGGGAGGGAGGTTATGTAAGGGGGGAGGGAGGCGGCGGGAGGAGGAGCAGGACGGCTCTCGCCGCCGTGCAGCCGCCGTGCAGCCGCAGCCAGCCGGGGCCGGGGCAGCCGCATGTGCGAAGTGGGGACGCGGCCGCCGCTGGCCGCCGAGCGCGGGGAGCCGCCCGGGGGTGCCGCCGCCGCCGAGAGGTGCCGAGACATGGGGTGAGTCCGCCGGGCCCCGGCCCCTCGTGGGCACCGCGTCCCGCCCCGACCCCGCCGCAGGTGCGGAGCCGGGGGAGCGCGGCCGCTCGTGAGCGCTCCCCAGAACCGGCGTTTTGTAACGTAATTAATCATTGACGCCCGCTCGGGAGACGCCGGCGGAGCGGGCACGCCGCGGAGGGAGATCACCGGCGGCAAAATCCCCGCTGGAATGAGCGGGGAGGAGCTCGGGATGTCGCGGAGCGGGGGCCGGTGCGGGGCCGGGGCCAGTCCCTGGCCGGTCAGCTGCGGGATGTGCAGCGAGTTCCTTGTCAGATGTTTCACGCGCTGGTTCCGAGAGAGCTCTGGCTGCTGGAGCCACACGGTAAACTTGCCTGAATTGTGCCAGCTGGTCCCTAATTTGTGTAAATATTTTTCCCTTAAAAATTTTTTTTTTAACATGCCAGAAGTCTCTGACCACATGTGATGACCTCTTGGAGAATTCAGCTTGGTCTTTCCAAAAATTAGTCGTGCATTTTTGCTATCCTCTAACTTACATGAGGGGACAAAAGCCAAATGCTGGCATTAGGGCAATTTGTGAACTAAATATCAGGGAACAGAGGTTAAGGCTGTGCCTTTGGCTTGATCTATATATAGGTTTGCGATCCTCTCGACCAGAATGTCTTGGGGGATTCCAAACCCACACATTTAATTTACTTTATTTTTATCCTATTATGTTCCCTTACACCTTTTCCTTGCCTCTCCTCACCCCCCTGTGGTAAGGAGTCGTTCTCCAGTTTCTGAGCTTCCTCTGCTGCTTTCAAATGTCCAAATTCCCACTATAGATTTATTGATTGTTGTCGAAGTGATATAATTTGAGAGTATATGGATAAATAATGAATTAAAATGACATGCACGTGTCCGAATTTGATACCCAAGAGTACTGAATAGAAGTACAGGGGCAGAGGGAGAAATAGGATCTGAGTATCTCCCCATGCTTCTCCTCAGGATTACAGGGGACTCACCTGCTTCTTAATTATGCAAAGTTTCACTGGAACATAAAAGAGAAATTGTCCTTGGGGTTAGAGAAAGAAGTATCAAAACCTGTCTGGAGCAGCACTGCCCCGCAGAGTCCAGGATGATCAGAAACATCCATCCACGGGAAACTTGCCTCTGTCGCTCTACCTGGGTGTCTCTAAAGGCAAATGTTTTAGCTGCTGTCATTTTTAACCATTTCCATACTGGTAGACAGTGTAGCTGTTGCTTGGAGAGAACTGAGTGGAAGGTCATAGTGGTCCCCTGCCCTTTGTGTCAGTCAGTTGTAGTTCTGGGCTTGGTGTGGTCCTGCTCTGCCTCCGGAGCTGTTCAAGCTGCGAAGGACTTTGGCTGCTTGAGAGAGCTCTGGTTGTGCTGCTGTGTGTGCTGCTACATGCAGTGTCAGATCATGCAGACTTGTACAGTGAGCAGGCACGTTCTCTAGTCTAGTTCAATCCCCTGATTTAATGTGTTTCTCAGTCATTTCAGTCTTACACTGGTGCACGTGAGATCAAGCTCCCAGTGCCATTCATTATTCCCCGGGTTTCAGCGTGGGTTGTACCTTCTCTTGCACTCTGTACAGAGTTCAGACAAGGTGTTTGGTGAATATGCATTTTTCCAGTGTCTCACATCATTATCTTGCCATTCACCTTTCTGATCCACAGAACTTGGAAGTACATTTGTGATAGCATTACTGCAGCTGTGGCTTAGCACACATGACATAGGAGCAACCTCCCAGTTTTCTTCTGGTTCCGTCTGTGCTGCAAATCCCTCACCTCTGCATGCTCGAGCTTTTCCTTCTGTGAAATGGGCCCCTCTGTACTCACTGTGTCCTGTGAAGCAGGTTGTGGTCAGAACACAGAGCTCAGTCATTCTTACTTGGACAAATACATTTGGGCCCAGGCATTCGAGTGGGATTTGCTTCCTGGGTACATTTTGGTGTCACATATGGGGCATGTACTCAGAAATTTTGACAATAACTTGATTCTTAGCTCTTAAAATATTTTTTCTTTTACTTTCCTTTTTTCTTTTTCCTGGGGGCAACCATTGCTAATGATTCATTTAAATGCTGCCTATGTATTTGGCAGTGACTGATGGTGCTATGAAACCTGATACAGCTACTTGAGCTTAGCAAAGCAAAGCTATTTAAATTGCTTATTAGCTGTGAGCTGAGCTATTTAAACTGTTGGTTTAGTTCAACTTACTAGGCAGCAAGGTAGTGTCAAGTTTTGCAAAAGCAATTTACATGTTTTAAAAAAACCTAATGCCTGTAATGCAGGGGATATGAAAACAACGTTGTAAAAAAGTGGGGGGAAAAATCTGCTCCAGTGTCCATAAAAGTCAATGTGAAAGTTGCTGCTGACTGGAAACCACTGTATTTTGGTCAAGCCACTGTTAAGAATCTCACTGGACAAATGTCTACTTTAAAGGGAATTAATCTTTTCCCAAATCACTTCTTTATTCTACTCAGCATATTTGATAGCTGCTGCTCCCTCAATCCTTTCAGAGCTTAAACTTCAGCTATTTGAAAACCACAATGTAACACATTGTAGAAATTTGTGTCTGAAAATATCTCCTGCTTTGTGTCCTGTAGTTGCAAGCCAAGGGCTGACACAATCAAGGAAGTGTCTCTGATGTTAGTGGGCTGTACCTACTCATCTAATAGCTGTGGTCTGACTCAATGTGACCTCAGTTTAAGCAGTCCAAGTTAAATTTACAGTTATAAGGATGCTTTAGGTTTTAGTATTAGCTGATTAAAGAAGATGTTGGATAGCTGTTTCATCTGTGCCTAAATTCTTTTATTATTTTCATTTCTTTAGTATCTTTGTATTTCCTTATCTATCCATTACAAATAATTTCTGTGATGAGGTGTGTGACAAATACCCAGTTTGGATTAGACCTGTAAATCTCTTCACTGCTGAAGCTGTTATTTATATTATGTGTTGGATTAAAACTCAACCAATTTAAATATGCTTTAGCATTAAAATTTTATTTTAATTCTGTTTTATAAATCATATCAAAATGACAATCAGGCTCCTGAGTGTTAAAAATTATTGCAGAAGCTGCACAATCATGTAGGAGTGTGTGCTATAGAGGTTAACAGTGAGCTAGCTCACAGCACACCTTTCTTTTGGCTGACATGAGATGTCTTCTCTGTGCTGCTTCCTCAGGGGCTAGTGGGGTAATTTAGTCCCCTCCAGCTGGGATCCATTCATACCTCTCCAGGTGAGCTCTGAGCCAAACACCAGGAAGTTTGGAAAAGACGAGTTTCCAAGCCTGGATCAGCAAATGAAGTAACCTCATCTTAAGTAGATTGGTCTCTTGAACAAAACTCTGTTCTCCCTGTGATATATTCATGGAAAGGTGCATGGAGCTGTATTACTGAGTGCAGCCATGTGATGGTTTTATTATGCACTGATATTTAAGAGATCAGGAAAGTCTGCCTTGCTCCTCCCTTCTGCTGTCAGCAGTACTAATGTCCATCAGCCAACACGTGGTTTTATTTGTGGAGTAAAAGGAAAAAACTAATGTGAGGGTGAAGAATGAAGGATAGAAATGAAGCAGAAGATGTGATGAAGCTCGTGTTATAGGAAGACAGTAATTTTGGAGGGTGTTCACTTTCTGGTACCAGCAGTACTTTAGAAACCATGGTGATAAGCTTTGCCTGAGAAGCTCTGTGGCAGGGAACAGTGTTGTTGCAGAGGAAATTCACCTTGGCTTTTGTCCAGCTCCCGCTGAAATCCATGAGAGTCTCTCGCTGACTGCCTCCAAAGTTTGGCCAGGCCATCTGTCTGCCAGGGAAGGGGAGACCCTGGGACCTGGGAGGGGCAGGCAGAGAATAGCACCTGGCTGTCACTGGGGTCACTCAGAGCAGGGCTGGGACAAGAGTGTGCCTGAACACAGCTGAGCTGGTACTGTGAGCTCAGGGACTCTTTTTTTTGTGAGATTTTAAGGCCAGCAGCTTCAGTTTGGTCCCCAGCATGGCTCAGGGGGTCAGATTATATCCAGCTGCTGGTGGTCCTGGTGTTCAAGGAAAGGGACAGATCTGATATGTGCTGAGGCTGTTCATCTCCTGGTTTTTGAAGCAGCTGACTGGGGGTGCTTGATTCTTCACAGCCTTGGTTCCTGACATAGCTATTTCCATTTTGCAGGGTAGATATAAATGGATGTTATTCTGACTTAGAGAATTCTGTGTCTATGTACAAATACAGGTGGCTGTACAAAAGTCAGGTCCTGAGAACTTCGTGTTCTGGAGCAATATTTGGGTTCACTGAAATGATGGGGAAACGCCATTGACCTCAATAGTGTGTAGTCCCTTGCTTATGTTGAACTCATTTATGTAAGGTTAGAGAGGCGGGGAGCTTGGTGGGGTGGGTGGAAGAGAAAAAAAAAGACCAGATAGCTAGGTCTTGTAATGATTTGTGCATGGTCAGAGTTTCGGTGAGGTTGTGTTGGGGTAAGTGAACAAACCTGTAACAGTGTTTTGTCTAAGTGACTTTGCCTCTCACAACTGTGTGAGGAGTTCACAGCACCGCAGACAGATGCACGTGAATGAATTTTTAAGGTCTGCTAGAGATAAGTTCTCCAAATTACAAGAGGAGAAGTCTGCCAGTACCACAACTAGTTTGAGTGTTCTGCTGCAAGTTTCTGGGGCATTTGCTTATGTAGACTGTGCTGTAGAAAGAGTGGACCGAAAGAAAACTTGATGCCGAGATGTCATCATAGTTAAGTTGCTTTCAGCTGCTAACCTAATTAATTACCACTGTTAATTTAATTATCACTTGAGAAAAAGCTTATAAATAAAATATTCTCCGTAAAGCTGGGACGTCCCTCAAGCCCTTCTTTCTATTTGAAAAGAGAATAGCGAGTAGGTCTCTTGATAACAAAGGCATAATTTGAAATGTTAAAAAGAATTATTTGAAGTTCAATTCCTTTAAACTAAAACTTTTAAAACTGATTCAGGATGTGATCAAGTGTCTCAAACTGTT